ATATATATATATATATATATATATATATATATATCCATTAAAAAACTGTGAAATAGCAAAAAAAAGAAACTGATTTGGATATGTATCCAGATCATTTCCTAATTTAAAAATAATAAAAACATAAAATACACCGTCCCATTAAACAGGAGATTTTGGTTTTTTATTTAAATAAATAAAAATAAAAAGATAAATTTGAGTTATTATGCAATTCTTTACATTTGTATAACCAATATAACTCAATCTCAACCGTCCATTTAATTTGATAAGTATGTGATTTCATAGAAGTTTTAATTGTTTCATAATATAAAGTATTGATCATAATTAATGAACTATAATCATCTTATATAAATATTTAAATCATAATAAATGAACTCTCATCATTTTCATAAATATCTCAATTGGTTGAGTTGCATTGGTTGTACAAATTGACATGATTGCATTTGAAATATACCATATATATGTATTGTCTAAATTTGAATGAATGATTGTTGGTGGAACCAAAATGGTACAAAGTTTAAATTGACCATTATCCCATTTCATTTAATATGAAATTGGAAATTTGATGTAGAAGAACAAATAAAGTTCAAAGATACTTTTTTTGACTTAAAAGAATATAGTTTGAAATTTTAAAACATGATATAATACATAACAGATATGTATCATTCAGTTTCAAACAACCTCCCACCCCACCAACGGCACCACCATAGCCTCCCCTTAAACCCCATCGTCCCCTCTTGTCGTCTCCCTTACTCGTCATTATCATCACAACTATCATCACCAAACCCTACTCCCTCTTTCTCGTCATCATCATCATCACACCTATCATCGGCAAACCCTACTCCCTATTTCTATCACCATGAATGAAAGACCCATTTTTGGCAATTAGGATTATTTTTATTATTTTATAGGGTTGAGTTGCAGTGAGAATGAAAGTTATGTGAGAAGGGTAAGAAATGTCCTTGACACTTGAATCAATCTTAATTGAAGATCAATATTAATGTGTGAACTGGGATGCACCAGATCAATTTTCGTGATAAACGTAATTCATATTTTTTACGGTTTAACCTTGTTATGATATATAAATATAAATATAAATATAAAAATGAAATTGAAAAGTTAGGATGAGAATTGATGAAGATGAATAATTGGAAGGGGTAGAAATAGTCAAAGTTAGGTGCAGGAGGGGCATGGTGTGGAGTCAAATCCAGTTATGGACTGACCAAAACATGATTTTTCACTGTACTATATTCTCAAGGTACAATCTATCCATGTGCCATCTTTAATTTTCTTTTTCAATCTTTTTCTCATATATATATATATATAGAGAGAGAGAGAGAGAGAGAGAGAGAAAGAGAGAGATGAGCGATCAAATGAAAACCACTCCAATTTATAAAACCGTAAAAACCGTAAAAACTACTCTCATTCGTTGATTTCATTGTTTAATCTTATGAAATTTTTTCATGAAATTGTTTAATCTTGTGAAATTGTTTCATATAATATTTTTTTTGATGAAGTTGTTTCATATATGGTTACGAAATTGTTTTATATACTACTTAATGAAACTGTTTCATGTATTTCTCTAAAATTAATGAAACTGTTTCATGTATTTCTCTAAAATTAAAATAATGAAGATGATAATATCCATGATTAACATCATCCACAATAAAAATGATTAATCAACCTCTCATAATTACAAAAAAAAAATGAACAAAATGAAAAATTATGATTAGTTGAATGAAGTTTGTACGGTTTGTACAAATTAGGTGGTTTTTATTTGAACGTTCCCCTATATATATATATATATATATATATATATATATACACACACACACACACTTTAAGGGGTTGTTTAACAAACCCTTACTCGGGTAAGTGAACACCAAGTCACATCACCTTACCGCATGAATATGGTAAAGACCAAAAGTCTTACCCGGTAAGTGATGGTGATGACTCTTATCATGGCAAGAGCTTACCGGGTAAATTGTTGCATATGATACCGTTTTAGTGGACTAAAATATTGCCCGATAAGTAAATGATAGTGTTAAATTTTACCGATAAACGCTTACCAGGTAAGAGTTTAGTAAACATCCCCTAATGTGGCGTTTGTTTTTTAAGAGGTGCTTAAATCTGAAGTCTGAATTCACTTCTGAATTTTAAGAGGTGGTGTTGAAGTCTGAAATCTGAATCAGTCAGCCTGTTTGTTTTTACGTCTGAAATCTGGAATATGAATCATTGAAATCTAGGCTTTCTTTGCAAGCATTGGAAGCTCTAAAAGCAATTAAGAGGTTTTAAGTGAAAATGTTACCTCTAAATAATTCAGACATAAWTAGAGCTTTTAAGCTCTTAATTGAAAAAAAAAAAAACAAACACACTTAATACCCTAAGGTTTGACCGATTCAGACATAAGAGGGTATTAAGTGCTTTTTAGGTAAAAACAAACAGGGCCTAAGACTTATGATTACGTGACACCAGTTATTTTTCATGAGATTGTGAAATATATCGTGAATATTTGGATTTTTCACTCTGGTGTGTTGTTTGATTGGCTAAAAAATGTTTGGATATTTCTCTTCTTTAAATGGTTTTTTTTTTTGTTTTCATAAATTTTGTGAAGATTTGATGTTTTCAATTCAGATTCATTTGATTATGTCTGATTGGTAAATAAAATCAAAGGCTTAACTTTTATTATAGCCGTAAAGCTCAATCTACTTGTTATGTTTGTACAGTAATGAGTTTCAATAAACTCTTACACTGTGTTGTCAATTTGTGAAGAAAAAGAATCGAAAGGTAAAAAAGGAAAGAAGGGAAGGAACAGATCTTGAAGAGGATCAAACTCTTTGTACAATAAAAAGTTTCAATAAACTCTTACACTGTGTTCTCCCAATTGGTTTGAGCTTGGACTCCAAATGTCAAAAGTGTCTGAAAGTCCTAGGTTCGAATCAGAGGAATAAAAATCCCCTTGTGGTGACGGATGTTTAAATATGGTGACTCCAGGCTAACCACGAAACGGATAGACGTCATGGGATTAGTCGACTCGCATAATACATTGGATATCCAGGTTAATAAAAAAAAATTATCAAGAAAAACAATCGAAAGGTAAAAAAAAGTTTTTATTTATTTATGTTATTGAAAGGAAGTGGAATAAACAAAATGGGAACAAATTTTCATGTTTTTAATAGTAAAAGAGGATAAAAGATGTCATTTTACCACATGTTTTTTAGTTAATGTTATTGTGTTAATGCAATTTATGTATAGCATTTTATAAATACTATACTTTAATCCTAATTATTTATAAGATAATACTGATATAAATAGATATGCACAAGGCTTGGGGCACTAGCCTTTCAAACACGTTTCTATTGAGCGAAAAAAATACAGAGCCTTTTTTGGGACAAGGTTGGGCCGAGCTTCGGGGTTAAACATGGGTGCGATCAAAGGTTGGGCCGAGCTTCGGGGTTAAACATGGGTGCGATCAAGTTTTCTCAAACCAGGTCTTTTTCAGCTTAACGAGACTTTTTCAGACTTTTCATGTCTGTGTTTTTCCGAGGCGGGCCTAAGCGAGGACCCACCTCCAAAATTTTGACCTGATCCGGATTTGAGACCTAGTCTAGACCAGGCTTCACGCTCACTAGGTTTGGATTTCTTCAAACTGGACTCAAGGCGGGCTTCGGGTTTCAGTTTTTTTTGTGATAAAAAAAGGGAAATTAATATAAATGACTATTTTTAGAGATAAAATTCATCTTTCAGCTATTTTTTTCGGAATTCTTAAATATATCTCTTAGCCATCTTAGGGCATGTTTGTTAGCAACTTAACGAGACTTATAGCTTATTTATTCAGTTATACATGACTTTTTGACAGTGGCTTAATGATATAGCAAGTGATTTATTCAGTAAGCTTCTACGGGTAAACCTTATACATAAAATCAAGTTTTTTTTTCAAACATGTCTCTCCCAATTATAAAACACATTCATTTAATTTATAAAAAAACTCTCACAAACAAAAAAAAAATTTAGTCTATACAGACATATTAATCTACATAAACAATTTTATTCATACAATATTTAACGAAAAACCAACCAAAAAACTCATTAACTTTTTTATTAAAAATAATAAGGAAGCAACTTAACGTGTAATCAATCCTTTCAAACAACGTGTCATTGGTCCAATCATGGTACTAGACTATCTTATATTTTTCTATTTAGACCCTTCAACTTTACTTTATTCCAATTTAGACCCCTCTGTTCCATCTTCTTCTATATATAAGAACACATCTCACGGCACGTTCAGCCATAGCCGTGCCATCTCCTCTCTTCACAAGCTGTCATCTTCAATCTCATCGTCTATTCACCGTTTCTGCCTAAATTCAACCTCAAATTCTAGTTTCAACACATAAAATCTTCTATATCTTAGGTTTTCTGCTTACTGAAATTCATCGTAAACCCTAACAATTTGATTCAAAAAAGCTTCAAAAACCATGGGGTTTCCAGTTTGGTACACAGAGCTCTTCCTCCCCAAGCTTCTGATTCGTGTTCTAACGTTTCTAGGTCTAATTCGTAAGCTCATTTCCGTCATTTTTCGTTTCGTTGGCCTTGGGGATTTCTTAGAGCCCGAATTTTCCACTGATCCCACCCGAACAGAGTCGTGTACTCAGTTCCAATCCGTCTCTGCTGTCCTCATCCGTGAGATCCTTCCGGTTGTGAAATTTTCTGAGCTTGTAGATCCGCCGGAGAGCTGTGCTGTGTGCCTTTATGAATTCGATGGCGGAGATGAGATCCGGCGGTTGACGAACTGCCGGCACATATTTCACAGATGCTGTTTGGACCGGTGGATGGATCATGATCAGAAGACGTGTCCACTTTGCCGGACGCCATTTATACCGGACGATTTGCAGGATTCGTTCAATGAACGGCTGTGGGCGGCTTCCGGCATCGCCGATTACTATGGAGATTCATCGCTGGTTAGTAATTAGTGGATATTGAACAGTGGAATCGATTTTCTTTTCTTTCTCATTTTGATTTTTATTGATGGCAATCGAGAAAGAGTTGTGATAGTAGAAGTATTATATATAATGTGTACATAATTAGCAGAAAGGAAATGGAAGAAGAAACTCCATTGTTGAAGGCTTTGATGAAGATCATAGAAATCTTTGATTTATTTTCTAGTTTTTCTGAAATTGCTGAAACAATTTCAGCATATATTTGTATAGAAATCAATGTCGAACTTAAAAAAAGGTTTGATGATATTACTTTCCCTATGTTGAACCCATTCACCATTTCTTTGGAAGCTTATCTCAGGTTTTGCACGATAAGATATCAGTTTTAATAAACTCAGCTACTACAATTTCTTTTCTTTTATTAACCTGAATATCCAACCTGCTATGCGAGCAGATTAATACCAGAGCAACCACTTGCATCGCAGATAGCCCGGAGTCACCGCATTTAAACCTCCGTTGCCACAAAAAGATTTTTATTCCTCTTTGGATTTGAACTTGGAACCTTCTGCTACTTTTGACTTTTGAAGTCAAACTCAAACCAATCAGACACCACCTTGTGGTTGTGACTACAATTGTTATAAATTCTTAAAATCCAATCCATAGAATATAGCATCACATCATCCTACGCAACAGGAATGAGGCGGGACTCCAACCCTCATCTCCGATCTCCAATCTCGGTCCTTGTTTCCGTTAGGGAATATGATCACGTCTCGTTGCCCAGCAAAGGATGATCGATTTTTTTCCCGTTTATGTGAGATGTTTTAAATTAAATATGTTAAACTCTACGTTCGATTCAAAATGGTTTATGTTTAAACAACACATATTTTCAAAATTTTGTTTTTATGGAGTATCAAATAATGTGAACAAAATCACAACATTATACGTAATTGTTTTATCAAACGATTTCGACTCTCCATGTTTTTTTATCTAAAATACTAAAACAAGTTGAGAAAATGTATATAAGAAGAAAAGTCAAAATATTCTTCCGAAATCTAATTTTTTTTATAAATAATACATACAATATATTCAATACACAGAGACCGGGCGAGACGAGAATCACGTTACATGGTCTCGCTCCCCATCCCCGTTCCCAGGTCGGGATAGGTTCAACAGACTACTCAATGGGACATGTCTCAATCTCATGCCTAGGTCTTCCTGGCTTCAATCAGTATGTTTACCACTTACCATTATTGCAAAAGGGTTGGGTTTCGATGAAAAGAATAATTAAGCTGAGAAACGTAAGAAGAAATCTCCACCTTCGGATACATATTAAAATGAGATGTATGACATCAATCCCCGTATCAAAAACAATTCATAGGTAAGTTTAATATTAAAGATGAATAAGAATTCAGATAATTTTTTATCCTTCTCACCTTAACTCAACTTCAACTATTCTAAAATCCGCATAAATTGAGTTTTTGTGAGCGAGATAAAATAATGAAACAAAAAAGTAGTTACAAAAACCTAACTTTTCATTTTTTATTTATAAAATAAAATTTTAATTATATATATATATATACACATATTATAAAATTACTAAAAAAAATTAAATATAACTTTTTCACTTTTTTATATTAATTTTAATTTTTGTTAATATTGAAGACAAGAATTAAAAATTGTGGATTGTGCAACATTTGAAATTTTTTAGGATGATGTGTAATGTAGGAAAAATAAAACAAAATTAATAAATATATTTTATATATTTATGTGAGTAGATACGAATTCATAAAATCCATAACAAAAACTTCCATTGGAATGCTCTTAAGATTCTTTTTACTTATAATTTGGATAATTTTAGTTTATATAGTAAATGTATTAAAAATAATATACCAAAGTTTCAACTCGATCATCACAACGCAAACTATAGATTTGGATTGGACTGTACTTTTGTTTGGATTTGGTTGTAATAGGATTTTTTTTAAACCATAAATATTGAATTAAGTTGTTCAAATGCCTCTAACACAACTAACCCAACTTATTAACATCCCTACCTAAGGGGTGTCAACGAGTCGAGCTTTTAACGAGCTACTCGAGCTTAGGTATGAGAATGGGATGGAGACCTCAATCTCCATTCTCGTCCCTAATCCCTCATCTCTGTCCCCATCCTCGTCTCCATCCCCATTAGGAAATATGATCACATCCTCATGCTCGTCCCCAATGGGGAACGGGGATCCCTGACGGGGAAACAAGAATTTTTTTTCTAGTTTATGTAAGCTTTTTAAATCAAATACGTGACACACCACACATGTTTAAATCTCACATATATCCAATAAATTTAAATTTGAAAGAAATTTAATTTAATACAAGAATTATCACACCATAAAATAATTAATAACCTAAAACCAAAAGAAGTTCAGTTTAATCCAAAAAAAAATTATCGAGTAATTGTATTTTGACTTGACATCCAAAATATTACATAGTAAAATCCAAAAAATAACAATTTTAAATTTTAAACCTAGTTAGAAAATAAGAAATTATGAATTACCGATTTGGTTGAAATATATAATACATATTTAATTTATTAATTGATATATACCCAATCCTTGGTTTGCGACGAACAGGGATCCTTGTCCCTGTCCCCATCCCCGGTTTAGTGGGGAATCCCCTTCCCCGATCGGGGTGGATGGATCGGGTTCTTCAACGGGTCGGGACCCATTCCCATGCCTACTCGAGTTCGAGCTCGTTGATAATAGGAGTTTGAGCTCAATAATTCTCAAGCTCGAGTCGATCTCGAAACAAAATAAAACTCGTTTAACTTAACAAGCCAAGCTTTATAACATCAATGTTTGACTCAGTTCATTCGAAAACTCGGTTAACTTTTCGACTCGAGTCGAGCAAACCACTTGAGCAAACATTTTTCGAACCAACACATGCTCATATGTTCATAAAACATACAATAAAAATATAAAAATCATCAACCTCGAGCCTATAAACGAGTTAATCGATCATGAGTTCGAGTATGATAACTCAAAAAATATTCCAACTCGAGCCTTAAAGTTAAAAAGTTATTCAAGGTCGAATATGATATTTTTTTCAAACCCGACTCAGATAATCACCACTCGACTCGTTTACACCCCTAAATGTTTAGGTATGAATATCGTCTTATAATAAATGTCGTCAGTTATTTTAATAAAAAAAATATTAAAATAATGAAAAATGTACAGATGAGGAGAGGAAGAAGGTTCGTGGGTTGAAAGTGGTCCAATCTGGAAAGCCATAAGAATCATTTCAACGCGTATCACTCTACTACTACGCTTTCAATTATTTTTACTTTTCTTGTCGTCACTTATTTAAATATTTGAATTTTTATTTTTATAATTAAAAACTAAGGGATCGTTTATTAAATGCTTACTCGGGTAAATAAATACCAAGTCATATGATCTTACCGGATAAATATGGTACGGACCAAGAATCTTTCCCAGTAATAACGAGACAAAAACCAAGAGTCTTACTCGGTAAGTGAGAGCGACAACTCTTACCACGGTAAGCGCTTACAGGATAAATTGTTTCATACGATACCATTTTGGTGGAATAAAATTTTATCCGTTAACTAAATGATAGTGTTAAATTTTAATGGTAAACGCTTACCGGGTAAGTATTTGGTAAACGACTCTTAATTATATATAAGTTGTGACTTTTAGTAAGCGCTTAACGGGTAAAAGATGTTTATGAACAATCTATTTTAATGGTAAAAAATATTACTCAATAAACATTTAACAAACGACCCTTAATACTTCATAACGGTTGTATTTAAAATATTATCAGAATATTTTGTAAAAAACTTAAATAATATATAATTTTATAGCAACCATATTTGAATTTTAAAGTTAGTTGAAGACGAGTGGTTGACTTGCGTTACGTCATATGATACCTTTTGAGACTTTGCTTATACGACCATTGTTTTCATTAAAAAAAAAAAAACTAGACACCATCTCTACCTCAATCTCTATCTCATTCTTAAACAAAGATTAGTTAAAGATTTCGAATTAATCCACGTGTATTTTATTATGATAAGTGTTTTTTTAATGTTTAAATCAAGCAGCCGCCTTCCACACCATCTTTTTTATTCATTATATCTACCTAATAAAAAACAATCTAACCACAAGGATGGTGCTTGATTGGTTTGAGCTTAACTCTAAGGTGGTGTTTGGTTCGCAGAATGTTTTTCGATGGAATGAAATCTGTTAAAGGAATTTGACTTTGAAGGAATTGAAATGAAATGTTGTCAGGTTTGACCACCTGTTTGGTTGACAGACATTGAAATGGAATCTGTTAAGAAATTGGAATCTTTCTGTTTGGTTCACAGAATGTAGCTTTATAATTGGAATAAAATTTTGGTAAATGACCAAAATGCCGTTTTTTGAAAATTTTAATTTTTTAAAACTAAAAATACTTTAATAAAATAATTATTTAATATGTAAAACAATATAAAATACACAACCCAAATATAATCATAAGCCAAACGACGTTACTAAATCGACGATGGTCGACGGTGGTTCAGATTGATGGTGGTGGTCCGCAGTGATTCAGACCGATGGTGATCCGCAGTGGTTCAGATGGAGGTGGTCAGCGGTGGTTCAAATAGGCGGTGGCGGCGGTGGTTGTTCAAATCAGTGGTGGTCGGCGGTGTCCAACGGTGATTCAGATCAATGGTAGTCATCAGTGGTTGGCAGTGATATAGATCGATGGTGGTCCGTTGTGGTTCAGGTGACGATGGTCAGATGTGGTTCAGATCGGCGATGGATCATATCGGTGATGGTCAATGGTTGTTTAGATCGACGGTGCTTTAGATCGGTAGTAGTTGGCGGTGGTTCAGATCAATGGTGGTCCGTGGTGGTTCAGATGACGATGATCGACAGTGGTTCAGATCGGTGGTGGTCCACGGTGGTTAAGATGGCGGTTATCGTCGGAGGTTCAGATTGACGGTGAATCAGATCAGTGGTAGTCGGTGGTAGTGGTCGACTGTGGTTCAGATTGGTGGTAGTCGGCGGTGGTCGACGATGGTTCAGATCGGTGGTGGTGGTCAGCGTGGTTTAGATCGGTGGTGGTCCATGGTGGTTCAGATGGTGGTTATCGGCGGTGGTTCAGATTAACGGTGAATCAGATCAGTGGTGGCTCAGATCGGCGGTGGTTCGGATCGGTGGTAGTCGGCGATGGTTCAGATCAATGGTGGTCGGCGGTGGTTCAAATCGGTGGTAGTTGACGGTGGTGGTGGTCGGCGGTGGTTCAGATCGGTGGTAGTCGATGGTGATGGTATGCGGTGGTGGTTCAGATCGGTGGTAGTCGGCGGTGGTTCAGGTTGGTGGTGGTCGGCGGTGGTTCAGATCGGTGGTGGTGGTCGACGGTGGTTCAGATCGGTGGTGGTGGTCGACGGTGGTTCAGATCGGTGGTGGTGGTCGACGGTGGTTTAGATCGGTGGTAGTCGGTGGTGGTGGTCGGCAGTGGTTCAGATCAATAGTGGTCGAGAGGTGGTTGGCGATGGTCATATTGAGTTTTATGAGATTATAATATATTAGGTTAAGGGCATATTTGGTATAATGAAGATAGAGATTCCATTCCATCAAAATACCATATAGTTGCTAAAGAATGTTAAAATATTTTATCCATGGAATTCATAGAAATCTGAAGATTCCTTCCGCTGAAAAGAATGAACCTTACGAAGGAAATGAATCTGATCAAAGGAATTCAACATTCCAATTCCTTCAGATTCCTCCAGAATCTGCGAACCAAACGCCACCTAAAGGTCAAAAGTAACAGAAGATCTCATATTCAAATCCAAGAAAGAATAAAAATCCCCTTGTGACCACGGAGGTTCAAATGCGGTGATTCAGGGCTATCTGCAAAGCAGGTGGTCGCCCTGGAATTAGTCGGCTCGCAAAACGGGTTGGATATCCAGGTTAATAAAAAAAAAAAAGAAGCAACCATCGTGTCAAAATACAATCCAAAACATGACACTCGGGTTAGACCATGCCTCAAAGTCTAATCAGACTGGAATTTTGGGAGGAGACCTTAGCCCAGGGCTAGAAAAGGCCAGCATAAGAAAAGCTTAGAAAGGGTTTTGGTTTAGTCCAAAAAGAACCAAATTAAGTCTGATTTGAAAAAGGTTGATTGAGCCAGTTTTCAAACCCAAAGCTTGGTCGGATCCTAAAAGTTCGGACCATTATTTTTCACTCACTGAATACAGATTTGAAAGGTTCGAACCCAAGCCTCAAAAAGTTGGCATGACCAACATTCGGATCCTCCCTGTTTGCTATCAAGCAATTAACAACCATTTTTATTACTCCAAGGATATACAATCATATTAGATTGTATTTCAAAAGAGTTATCGAGCAAAAAAGAGCTCTACCATGTATTTAGAAAGAATGATTCAATCACGCCCTACTTAATAAAGGTTAGACAAACAAATAACCTAAACCATGACTATTGGACAAACAATCAAGAGTAAGTTATGATTTCTGTCATTGTGGTTTGTTAATAATTTTGTTTTTCATCCCTGTAGTTTAGAAATTGTAATTTTCGTCCCTATGGTTTGCAATTTATTGCTATATTTGTCCATGGACTAATTTCTACCTTTATATAGAAGGGACAAAAAACAGTAAATAATTGTAAGCCACAAGGACTGAAACAACAATAAATTACACAAACCATAGGAACCAAAAATGCAATTTCTGAACCACAAGAACAAAATTTGCAATTTTTAACAAACCACAGGGATGTAAAATTTAATTTACTCAAGAACCAATAAAAAGAATACCCATAGAGAATTGTTGCAAATCTCAAGTAAAAAAATGTATGAATTTATGAAACCAAGTATCAGGTTAATCATATTAAAGAATTTTCAAGCAAATAAGAGCGAACGATGTACAAATAAAATGTCCATGCTCAGCCATGAAAGAATTGTCTCACCAAGAAGTTCAATAAAAAAAAATTGGGTTAAGATATGATAAATCAACAAAACTCTACCATTTTGCTTGCAACCAAAAGCACTTACTTCTCTTGACCTGGAGTTTGGTTGTTTGTTGGACCATAGTTGGAAGGTGGTTGATTGCCTTGACCTTGAGGCGGAGGAGGCGGAGGAGGCTGAGAAGGATAACCTGCCGGTGGATACCCTTGCCCTTGAGGTGGTGGAGGGTAAGTGGCAGGCGGGTACCCTTGACCTTGAGGTGGCGGAGGATAAACGCCAGGTGGGTACGCTTGACCTTGAGGCGGGTACCCTTGACCATGAGGCGGGTACCCCTGACCTTGAGGCGGGTACCCCTGACCTTGAGGCGGGTAGTACATGGGAGGCGGGTAGCCCTGGGCTTGATGTTGTGGTAGAGGGTAACCGTAGTGCGGTTGTCCGTATTGAACATTGGGATGATATGGTTGATCAATTCTTGACATTTCCTGGACTGGAGGAACATCCATCGGACGCATTCCAAACTTTCCATCTCGTTTGTCCATTTCCACCTTGTGTTGTGTCTGCAAAAATAAGGTAATGGTACTAGAGTTTGACGAAGATTTTTGCTTGTCATCATAGATTTTGCATGTGAAAATATGTTAAACTTTATTAGATTACTCTCCAAAAGAGATCTTGAGGAGAGAAGGTTCAGATACACATTTAGAAGTAATGGTCCAATGGGAGCTAGTCGGGCACAAATTATCCCAGGATATCAAGTTCCTAGAGTGGTAGACCTTACCTCAGATACCATGTGAGAATATGTGGAACCCTGGATTATTCTCCAAAAGGGAACTTGAGGAGAGGAGGTTCAAACATATATTGAGAAGAAATGATCCAACAAGGCTAGACGGTACAAATTGTCCCAGAATGTCAAGTCCATAGAGTGATAAACCTTGACTCTGATACCATGTAGGAATATGTGGAACCTCATTAGATTATTCACCATGTAGGAACGTTCCAACATATATTGAGAAAAAATGTTCAAATCTAGGGACTTCAACATATTTGATCGACTGGTTAAATCTAAGGTCCCATTTGGTTTGTAGGATTGGAATTCAATTCCATTCCAATCCATGTTTGGTTTGAAGGATTGCTTGGACTTAAAAGCCTGTGATTGCATTGAAATCCCACAAAAATGGTATTTAGAAATCCCATGACGGTTGTTAGTATTTCGTGAGATTTCGTAGGATTTGTGTATAATAATGTTTTTAAAATATTTGTTTTATAGTAATCAATTAATAAAAAGGTAATTTAGTTATATTTATAAATTATTTATAAAAAATGGAATTCAATTCCTTTCAAATCCTACAAACCAAACACACCAAAGATTTCAAATCCTTCCACGAAATCCAAATCCCTCAAAACCATTCAATAAAACCAAACTCCCGCTAAGTTCACCTATCTATAGAATCTTGTAGTTTAATGAAAGTTCAACAAGGGGTGAAATCACTTAGAAAGCATGATTACAGGTTTGCTAAGTTCCAAAGAACAACAATTTCTTGCATAGAAAGTTCTTTTGGAACTGGTTTAGAAAGATTCAGCATAAATAATGAAAAATATTTGATATGGAAGAATATTTTGTCATACCTGCATGCATGTGCAAACCCTACAAAATCAAGCCACAAGATTGATACGATTTAGAATATTTGTTTTCATTCATATCGTTAACCAGATAGATCAAGTTGACGAGGGGAGGAGACAACTTACGTGCAAAAAACCAGATCAGCTAAGCAATTCAGCAACTGAGATGCATCACTGAGTTCATCGCTTCCAACGAGGCAAGCGATAATGGAGAATATACACGCAAGTTGTTGGAGGCAAACCATGCAACCCTAAGCATGAGGGAAATTGATCAAAAGATTGGTCAAGTAATTAATAATGAGGGTAAAAAAAATGAAAAGTTTCACATAGAAATTACAATGATACAGTTATCACATTTGGTTGTCTGTATGTGAAACTCATCCTGCAACATAAAGCGAGTGGATGCTACGGAATTCCCAAAGCAGCAGAAGACCTGAGGATTACAAGAACAAAAGGAAAAGCTTAATAGCAAGTTCATATGCTGGTATGCATTCAGAGTCTACATATATGTGGCATTCATCAATAACATGACAATTAGAAGATTCGAATAACAGAAATATTGATTAAGATTCATGATGATGGAGTTCAGGGCGATCTCTTGTCTTCAAGCAGACCTCTCGAAATTGTTCCTACAACTCTGTACAAAAAAACACTTGAATCTTGCCAGCCACCGCCAAAAAGTATGCTTAAATTAATCCCTGAGCTTTTAAAAATATAATACATATTGTACCTCAAAATCAACTTAAAATCATGGTAAAAGTTATTGGTAATGGTAACCTACAACTCCGAGCTTATAAGAAGCTCATAAATCTAATTATGGGTTGTTAAGCATACCTCTGTGCAAAGGCAAAATTTAGGACATTTACGTTCTCCGCACTTTCCACTACAGGGCATATATCCACCACAACATAAATACCTGGATCAGGCGATAAATGTTTAACACGATATGATTACTCTCCATAGTTTGAGTTTGGTTGATGGATAAAAGTAATTACCTCGACATATCACCATAGAGAGCTCGCTTACGAAGCAGGTATGATGCGCATGGTCCGCTGCCATTTGTAGAGTTCAAGAAAGAAGATTAGTAGGGAAACGAAACAAGTTAGAAGAAAGTATCCCCAATAACTATCTTACTTCACCCACAAGTACAGAAAGGAAACAAGAATCAACAAATAAGAAAGATGGACAATGACTATCTATATCCAAACTTGGCTGAACCATGATTTTTATTAAAAGCCAAGCATGGTTCCGCGAATATTAGGAGGGTAAAAAAACTACCTTTAGCACCATTTTCAAATTTATGCTAAAGACAAGGGTCAACGTAGTCCTGCTATTTTATATATAGAACTGGGACAAGTATTTCAAACTTGTTGGATCATGAAAACCAAATCTGACTACCATTTCAGTCAAAACAATATCAATAAATAAACACGCAAACCAACATGATTTAGCAAGTTGAGAAGTTGTTATGAATCAGGAACGGGTACCAATGTTTTTTTTTATATTCAAGAGATTACAGAGGAGAGATTGTGCTAGTCTCGGGGATTGGGCATGTTACAAACACGAGCAGGACAAATTTGTATATTCGGCCAGAAAGTGTTACTTTAACATGAGGACAAAAAGCTCATGGATGTTATTACACAATGAGAGGGTAGAGGAAGCTAATGACAATTCATCATTGTACTTGCCAAACATGTCAATTAAAATATTTATAGATAGGAAAGTTGCCTATAATTTGGTAGAACCATACAGAAACAACCTACATGATAAATCCCTTAATTTGTGTTCTTCGAAATAACTTATTTATCCATTTTCTGAGTACCAATTCTAAAGCAATCTCAAAGGAACATAAATACCCTAAACACCTGATCGATATGCATGGAAACCAATTACCTCTCCCTTACAACAGGTTACCTACCAAAATCAACTCTTCTCATAAGCAATACAAGCAGAATAGCAAAAAGAAGGCCATACAGGGTGTATATTGAATTGAGCCAAAAAAAGGTTATCGTATATGAACATTGAAACATGAAGTATACCATTAGAAAGGCATAACCACAATTCATGAAGCCATTAAGTATGTATCATGTGTGACCTGAAAGTTTGTGCTGCTTGGTTATTATACCACACCAACCAAATCCAATTTGACAAGCCACTCAAGGAAGCTTAAAGCTACAGTTGTTTACTCAAACGTCCTTATCATGTCTGATATGTTCCTTCTCTGTTTTTGTTAAAAGATATAGGAACAGATCTTGAAGAGGATCAAGCAACTAGGTTTCCCACCTCCATCTTTCATTCAACCGCAGTCTCAACCATAAACCAGGATGGCATGTAAAGGATGCTTAAGTCCATAAATCGACACCAAAAACATTTTGCAATGTTGCACAAACATAGAGAGAAGATGTGCACTTAAAGCAATGGCTCCACAGCCTCAAGGTGCTATATGGACAGGCTAACTTTATGGGACAAAAACAAGACCTTTATGATAACATCCAGTAAATAAGTTATCTAATATATAGCCACCCTCTTTGTATGTAAATTTCCTCATGCACGTCATTAATGAACTTATGAAAGAAATTCCAATGTTCTATGATGTGTCTTAACCTTTTGATTATGCTATACGCTCAAATTGTAACATATTCTTGCACCAACCTTGTATAAAACATTAATCCAATGAGCAAACTTCACTTAAAAAACTATGAAGTACCTACATTGGATGCAGCATTACGTTGATAACAACAGAGCCTGTTAGGGGAAAAACCTATGGCAGATTATGATTTTCCTTTAATTTGATTAATATGATCAAATTCCGATCCGTAAAGCTAACGAATATGCATAACATTTAAAGCCATAATCTGCTCATAACAAAACATTAATATATCATAGAATCAGAAACATAGAGTCGGCACAGTAACATATTATATCAAGTATAGCTAAGGATTAAAGAATATACTTTTTTGTGTATCTGACATATTGTGATAGTGCAAGGACTAAATTGTAACTATTTGGTTGGAAGATTGCATGGTCGTTAGGTTAGTTTCTTTTCAAGCTTTGTGACTATTTTCTGGACTATGTATACAACAGAGATTCGTCTTCGATTTTGATCATCGATGAGATTCTATTTCTTCCTTCTTGTATTTCCACGACAAACTGTTTACGTTTGCCCACAAACAAAACATTTCAAACAATCACATACGGTAAAACCATAATAGAATAAAATAGATCAAAGATCTACATTACAAAAAATCAGCGAAAAGCAAAGCTCTTACCAGAATAACGCAAAGCAGCAATCTAGAACAACACAAGACACATACACGAAGCGACGAATTAGAATGGATTTACCAAATTAATTAAGCTGAGAAATTATAAAATTGAAAACGAAATTGAGGATCAAAGCGACTAAATTACAAGGAGTATCGGCAGCCATGGTGCTCATGAGATCTGTATGCCATACATTCCGGTAGCCCTGACGGTGCTTCATTTTGTTCACCTGCTCTTCACCGGACGACATTGTTGATTCCTTTTACAGACGATTGAATTTCAAATACAACGATGATGAATCTGATCGAAATGTCGAGTTTTTTCACAGTCGATCGAGTTAGAAACCAATTGAAGAAGCCCTAAGCGTCTGATTTCGATTTTACGATTGATTCTGATTACGGGAAATCGAAACTTTTTACTCAGAAGCGAGAGATGGAATTTGCGAAAAATACCCCTTTATTATTTCACGTAAAAAATTTAAAAATAAAAAATTAGAATATTTTCTATAATTTTCCAAAAATAAACAACAAAAACATAATTTTTCTAAAAATATTTAGTGGGTGTTTGGGGTTATTTATTTAAAGTGTTTATTAACTTATTTCGATGTGGTACTCATAATAAGAAGTTTTAGGGGGTGTTTGGGATTGCTTATAAAAACAACTTATTTAGTTATTTACTTATTCTGGTGTGACATCGGTAATAAATATTTTTGAGTGTTTGGATAAACAACTTATACCGGTGTCAAACCGATAAGAAGTTTTTAAAAAAGTTAAACCTTTCTAACTTATAATAAGAGGGCTTTTATAGAAAAGTATAAGTTGTTTCAAATAAGCAATCTCAAACACTTCCTTAGTGTTTGGATGGAGAAAAAAATGAAATGTTTATATTGGTTTGACACCGGTAATAAAGAGTTTTTAATGAGTTACTTCCTTCTAACTTATTAACTTATTCTCGTGTGGTACCGGCGATAAATAGTTTTAATGTTTGGATGAGAAAAAAAAGTATCTTTATCTATTTTATCAATTTATCTGGTGTGGTACCACCATAAGCTAATCTCAACACTTTTTATAAACTCTGTTTGTCACCATATAAATTAATAAATATTTAAAAAAACATAAGTTATTTTAAATAAACAATCCCAAACACCTCCTTAGAATCATCTTGAAGAGATTTCTATATTATAGAAATTTTAACATAATTTGTATTATTATAATATTCTTTAATTTTATCATCTAAATATATTTAAAAAAAAAAAAAAACTTAATTTCATTGATGCAATTGAATAAAATAATCAATTATTTCTTCCACATTATATTTTAGAGAATTCTCTATATTTAGAGTTTTCTCTATTGTTATCTATTTTAGACAAAACAATAAACTCTCAGTGTATTTTAGAGAATATAAATTCAATTTTTTTGTTTTAGAAAAGTTGTTGAAGATGCTCTAACATACCATTTTGTATTAAAAATATAAGAGATTTTTTTGTTATTAACTAAGAAAACTTTTATCTTTAAAAAGAATTACTAATCATACGATGACGATCCAACTTATATCTATATTTAGTATTTTTAAAACTACCATTGTTTTTCCATACATTATTAAGGGGCCGTTTACCAAACACTTACGCGGTAAGCACTTACTGGTAAAGTTTAATATTAGCATTTACTTATCGGGTAAGATTTTAGTTCACCAAAACAACATCATACGCGACAATTTACCTGGTAAGCGCTTACCGTAGTAAGAGTCGTTTCCCTCAATTACCGGATAAGACTCTTGGTCCTTGTTTCACTCTTACCAAGTAACCAATAAGGTAACGTGACTTATCAAACGCTTACACAGGTAAGCATTTGATAAACAACCCATAACTCTTAATTACCTAATATTAGTGCATGAATCTTGAGTATTATCTTATCTATAAAAGAAGAACAAGATCTCAAATTATAACCAATATGGATTTTTGATTTTAACATTGATGGTTCTGAATTTTTCTTATTTTAATCCTAAAAGTTTAAAATGATGATAAAGAACATTAACATGAGATGACATGTAAATTCAACTGATTTATATTGATTTACATAAAATGTTACTTTGAATAGTCAAAATGTGATACAAAACTATATTAATCAATATATAAAAAGTATATGAAATAGGATTTTTTTTTATGGTGGAACGAATTGATTATGCAATGTATAAATGATAAGATAGATAACATTAATTCATTATTGATTAATTTTGCGTCTATGAAAAACTCGAAAAAATAGGTTTATATAAACTAATAATATTTATTGAATTCAATATTATTTCTAATGATAAAAACAATATATTAAAAAAAATTGTACTGAGAGTCAATTTTTTACATCTCATCCATCTATAACTTGTCAGAAACGGACCTACAGATACCACTGAACCAACAACGCCCTTTAACAAGTTTCCGACCCTAGTTCTGGACGATCAGATTTCGTGAGCCTTTTCTTCGGATTATATATCACAACGACCAAAGGCGTCGCTATAAATGTCGTGAAAAGGGCCATCAGAACGAGTATCGCGAACGTTTGATCATTCAACACCTGAAAATAAATTCATCAAATATGAGTTTAGTATCAAACTAGTTTTAGCGACAAAAAGCCCGTCACAAAAGGTTTTCTAAGTGAACTTACGCCTCGGTCTTTTCCGATGTTGAGAACGATGAGTTCGACCAAGCCTTTCGTGTTCATCAAGATTCCGAGCGTAAGAGCCTCCACGAAAGGGATTTTACACGCCATCGAAACCACAGTGGTACCGAAAATCTTTCCAAAACAAGCCGTAAAAACGACCAAAACGAGTAGAGCCCAGGACTTAGTCCCGTGAATTGAGGCCACATTGGTCTTTAAACCACTCGACACGAAGTAAAGCGGGAGGAATAAGCCCGATACGAGATCCTCGACTTTTTCGACTAATGCTTTTGGCAATGCACCTTCTTTCGGGATCAAAACTCCGATCACAAACGCCCCGAAAAGCGCATGAATCCCGATAGCGTCCGTCACAAATCCGGCAGCCAAAACCACCCCAAGAGTGGCACAAACATACACCTCGTCCACCGGCTCGCCATCCGGGCACCGCCGAGCCGTCCATCTGAAAACCGGTGGGACAACCAACGAGCAGAGGGTAATGAAACCAAGCCCACACAAGAAAATCCATAGAGAAACAAGAGGTGAACGGCCCGAGCCGGAGAGGGCCACTGCGAGACCGAGCAGGATCCAGGCCACCACATCATTAACGGCAGCGGCTGACATGGCGGTTTTACCGATGTCGGTGGTCAAGAGCTTGAGTTCCGCTAGGATACGTGCTAGCACAGGGAACGCTGTGATTGACATCGCTACCCCCATGAAAACGATAAACGGACCGGCGTTCACACCTTCAGAGATGGTCCGGCGGAGGATGAACGAAACACCAACTCCTAACCCGAATGGGAGGCTGATTCCGGCCACCGCTATGCTCAGAGCTTTCTTCCCTGTCCGGAAAAGCGAGTTTAAATCGAGCTCGAGTCCAATAAGGAAGAGGAAGAACATAAGCCCAAGATTGGCTAAAGTGTCCAACACCGTTAGGCTCCTCGCCGGAAAAACTGCATGAAGATATGTCTTGTTCCGGCCTAACGCCGACGGTCCGAGTAAAATTCCACCCTGTAAAAAACCGACAGATTACGACCACTTACAAAGGTTTCATGTAACTCGTTAAATATATGACGGAATACAAGAATGAAAAGAAAGTAAACACCATCACCAAATTGTCACATCCTAATTAATTAGCGACAGATTTTGGGATTTTAGCGACGTTTTTACACGTGTTAAGGTCCCACATCACCTCCGTATATGTGTTGAAACTTTGCATTATTTTCGTAAAGACTTTTTTTTAAGAGTAATCGTTTCAAATATTTTCAAGTAAACTTGCAATAGAGATAAAGGTAATTACTCACGACGATCTCTGCAATAACACGAGGTTGTTTCAATGGCTTGAAAAGGTAAGCGAGTGCTCGAGTGAATAGGAGCACAAGGCAGATTTGTATAACGAGGAGAGGGAGTGCGTAATCGATGGGAATCTCTCCTTGGAAAATCCCGTTAGAAGTGGCCTTCATCGGGGGTAGATTACGAGCATCGGCACAATTTGAAGCCATTCGACAGAAACGTAAACCCAATAAAAGAAAGACGATATGTAGGGTGAACTTAACTGTGCCGGTTCAAATATGCGAAACCACTGGAAATTAGGTCTTGATAAACAAGAGGAGAGGGGTGGGTTTACATATTTTTTTGTTGCATGGCCATGGATGAGTATTAAATAATTTAGTTTACCCGAGCCGAGAGTGAAAGACTAGTCTGATAAGATGACTAAAATTAAAGGATATTGATATAAAGGTGATTTTTAAATGATGAGAGACTAGACTAGACTGATAAAAGGATGACTAAAATTAAATAAATTAAAAAGATTAATGGTTATCTAAAATAAATTAAATAAATAAATTAATGGTTATCTAAAATAAATTAAAAAGATTAATGGTTATCTAAAATATAATTTATATACGATTTTTGATTATGGATTAAACATCTCAAATATTTCTAAGAGGATTATGAAGCAAAATAGATCTTATTAATTACAAGAGTATTATCTCGAAAAATTCTACAAAATATTTTCCAAAATAATATAATAAGAGCATTTTAGGTTGTTATGAGAATTTCTTTTTGTATTTTGTTTGTAATTCTATTTTTAAAAGTTTACAATAGTAATAGTAGTTCTTATAAGATGTTATATTTTTACAAAAAAGGTTATACTTAATAAATTAAAAAATAAGTACTACTCCATTAGTTCATATTAAAAAGGTAATTGTGCATTGCATCGAGATAAATCTCTATTTTAATGTTTAGTTTTCATTATTTGTCTCTATCAATATAAGACGATTTCATGTGATTTTGAAAAAACGATAATGTTTTTATTTTTGAATTAAATATAAATTTGAAGATAGTATAAAAAAATTTTAAAAAATAAAATCGATGTTAGTTTTAAATTAATTATTTAATAATTCTCGTTTTTTTGTTGTAACTTATTTAATTTCAATTTTTTATTATAATTTAATTTATGTCTAATAACAAGGTAATATATTTTTGGTTTAATAATATAATATTTATTAAAGATAATAATTAATGGTTGGAAACTCAATGATATATTTTAGATTTTCTATATTTAAAATAGATGTTTATCCTATATTTAATTATATTTATCTGCAGTTAGTTAACATGAATTTAAAAATGAAGCTTTAACAACTTACACAAAATCATGTGTAATCTTGAATTTTAAGTAATATACATCAATAAACAATACTTCATGCATAAAAAATGATTTTTAAAAGTTTTCTCAAATGTTTTATAATATAGTATAGATAGGGGTGTAAATGATGCTAGTCAAACTCAAGTATCAGTATACTCGACTCGAACTCGATAGTAATTTCTTAAGCTCGAACTCGACTCGAAAACTTGCAAGTAGTTAAAAATTAAACTCGACTCAAACTGAATTGCAATTTTTTAGTCCCGAACTCTAATCAAGCTCACCCGTCGAAGTTTATGAAATTTTAAGGTATTCTGTTATAAATTATAAAACTGAAAGGTGTTCTTTTAAATTTTAAAAAACTAAAGAAATGCATTTCAAACTTAATAATCAAAAAGACAAAGTTACAAACTTCATTCACATCTTTCTCTTTTTATAACAACTTTCCGACCTTTTTCTACTATCTTTCTTCTAATGTGGCACAACTTCACCAACACTTATATAATTTTTTTTTTAATTATGATTTAATAAAAAAAAATTATTGATATAATTTTTATAATTAAAAATACACAATATTGTTCAAATATTTAAAAATATAAGACACTTTTATTACATTATACTATACATATTATATCACAAAACTGATTATATTTTTAAAAATAACTATATATAAAAAATCGAGTATCTCATGAGTTTTTCGAGTCGAGTATTGGGTAGCTCGACTCGACTCGTTAATATGTTGAGTTGAGTTTTGACCGAGTCGATCTTTAATAGCTCACGAGTCGTCCATATCATTTACACCCCTAAATTCATAAAAAAAAAACAGCTAAATCCAAGTACGTTAAAACCAAGAATCACACTTATAATATCATTTCGCTCTTTTAAGTCCAAACAAAAGCTACGTTTATGCCTTCATGGTTCACGTCTCATGAGTTTAGTTTAGAACTTTACGTCTTTCCATATTAGAACTTCGTACCGTATGAACTATCAAACTTTAATTTTGTTCTAAACTTTTGATTTTCAATATTATACTGCAACTGATTACAATAGCTATTTAGGAACAAACCACACAACATTTACGATTTGAGACATATACAACTTGTTTTGCAACTTTAATTTTAACGCGCATTACACTATACCATAAACACCCAAATTTCATGACATAATCATAATTATACATGGTGCAATACAACATGTCATGTAACGATTTTTATTTATTTGTTTAACAAAAAGTAATATAATACGTTTATACCAAGACTCATTTATTTTTGGTGATCCTAAATCTAAGGCGTTGTGGGGTCATTTCATATTCATGGTCCTAACATAATTAATACTCCCACCGTCCCATTCAACCCGTAATTATTAGATAAAATTGTAATTTAGTTACTTAAAATGTAATAATTACAAATTTTTAAAATTATATGTCATTTTTATTGTGAACATTTATTTTAGGACAGATGAAGTAACAAAAAGAAAAACAAAATAAAAACCACAATGATGACAAATAATTTTTTAAAACCAGGGACTAAAATAGCAATAAACACAAACAACAGGGACTAAAATCGTAGTTTACTAGTTGAAGTTATCACGAAGCGACGGCCGAGTTCTGCGGGCCGCACTCTTTTCATTCTTTCTTCACTAACTTCCTCCATCAAGTCATCGCCGCCGCCAGGCTGCCGGCTCCCGGCAAACTCTTCACCGGAAACAGTTTAGGTACTTCTTTTTTCTATTCTTCATTTTGGTTTATGTCTTCTTATTGTAAAACAATTCCAGGATTACTTTAGGAGTTGGAATGATTTGTTGTTTCTTTGATTGTTACTCGTATCTTTATCCTAGGGCTTTTACGTTGTTTGTAAGAATCAAAAATGGATTTTCTTTGAATTCGGATGTCAAAACGTTAATTTCTTACTTCAAAGTTGATGTGGATTATATAAGCACAAGCATGTCACGAAAATGCTCTTGATGGAGTTACGTGAACAAATCTCCTGAATTGTTAAACCTTTTGTTTTGATAAAAATCCATTACCTATTTGAGATACAAAGCCCTGTCTGCCTTTAGTCAAACCTTGTTCACCAACGGTTTGTTTTCCTGCTCAGGTATGTGTATCTGACCAAAATAGGGTTCCCAACTTCCAATTGAAGTTGTTGAAAAAGTTGAGTTTTAGATTAGAATCCTTTAGTTGATTAATGTTGGCACTTCAAATGGTCGGATGAATCTTTGCCAGTAGTGAAGATGGAGTGGTGTTGAGGCAATGATTCTGTTCTTTTTTATGAACCCCAACTGTTCGATAAAATTCCCCAATCAGCAACACATGCTTCATGCTTGTATTGTTGAATCCCATTGTATGGCTAATTTGCACGAATAATCAACTATTGATATATGTTTCAAATTGACAACTGTATCCAGACAGTTATGTTGATATTTACTTGACTTTCTTATCTAATTATATTCTAAGTTATTAAATGATGCCGTGATAATTAAGTTTTATTTGATCGTTTATATGTTCAAAGGCTTAAAATGGTAATTCTTTCATTCATAACACCGATCATTTTGGATTTAGCACCTAGAACTGAAGTCTGTAAATCACTGAGAAATCATATTCGCTCAGTTCTTGATTCTTTTTAGTTCTCCATATTTGACAGAAAGCTTGTTAATTCAAATCATAATTGCGAATTATTTGGGGTGTTTTTAGAGATGAAAAGAATGATAGCATTGGGGTTTGAAGGATCGGCCAACAAGATTGGTGTTGGGGTAGTGACTCTAGATGGCACGATCTTATCGAATCCACGACACACCTATATTACTCCTCCTGGTCATGGATTTCTCCCTCGTGAAACTGCACAACATCATCTGCAGCATATCCTTCCCCTAATCAAGGAGGCCCTAGAAACTGCTCAACTTACACGGAATGACATTGATTGTCTTTGTTACACCAAGGGTCCTGGAATGGGAGCACCATTACAGGTTTCTGCTGTTGTTGTACGGGTTCTTTCACAGCTATGGAAGATTCCGATCGTGGGTGTGAATCACTGTGTTGCTCATATTGAAATGGGGAGGATCGTCACTGGGGCTGATGATCCTGTTGTTCTCTATGTTAGTGGGGGAAACACACAGGTGATTGCATGACTATTGTTATTGTTGCTATTACTATTTCTCTCTGTCCCAAAATAAGTGTCCACATTTTTATTTTTATTTGTCCCAAAAATAAGTGTCTACTTTCCAATTCTACCCTTGATTAATAGATAAAAAAATTATTACTCCCTTTAATATTTATGGGTAAATTGTCATTTAGTTAATTAATAAGTAATTACATATTTTTAAAACTGTATTCCTTTTTCGGACATTTATTTTGGACGGAGGGAGTATTACTCATAAGTGATTGACTTTTTAGCCATCGTACTTGGTCTTTTGTTGTAAACAAACCAACGTTCTTTCGAACTTGAAAAAGCAAGAGGAAAACCTCATTCGGCACGGATGAGCAATTTTGGATAATAGAGTTGAGTATGACGGCTACTTCCGGGATTTATATTTATTCAATCTCTCCATGTCAACTTATTCTTGCAAACTGGTAGTTTTTAGAGCATTTTTGCAAGAATGATGGTTTATGTACAACGAAAAGCCAAGTTTATGATTGTTCAAAGGTCGATCATTAGTATTAGTATTAAATTGGGAGGATGAGATTAGTATTATGCTATTGATTTCTTTTTCATTTCTTTAAATAGGTAATTGCGTACAGTGAGGGAAGATACCGAATATTTGGGGAGACAATTGATATAGCTATCGGTAATTGCTTGGACCGGTTTGCTAGAGTTTTAATGTTGTCAAATGATCCGAGCCCAGGGTACAACATTGAGCAGGTATGTAAGATTGATGGACCTTTATCTTCATGATTTTTAACTTCTTCCTCTATCTTATGAAAATTGCTACACTTTTTGTGACGTCTCACGTAAATTGCAACATTTTATTTTTCTTCTCGTTAACTTTTCAATGAAAAACTATATGGCTTTTTTTCCTGTTTCAGCACTACAATAAACGTATGTGCAGTTTCTTTACCTTGATAATGTTTTTCTTATACCTAGGGGTGTTCATCCAAACCACCAAACTGACAAACAGCACAAACTGCCCTCACCCAAAGCGTGGTTTAGAACTTCTGCGGTGTGGTTTGCATTTTTACCAAACCGCACTATGCGGTGCCGTTTGCGGTTTTGAGTTATCAAACCGCGGTTTTAAACCGCACCACACATTATATATATATATATATTTTTAATCTATGTTATATATGATAATTAGGCTAATTTATGCAATATTTTTAGTTTTTTAGGCTCTGTTTAATTATGTAATATGTGTCTGGGAATCGGAGGTATTAGAACTTTTTATTTGTTTGGACTACTTATCATTGATTTTGTAATAAAGTTTTAATCTTATAATTATTGGATTGTCGGTACAAGTGCGTTAGGTACAAATTGCATAAACCGCACTGCATTTCATGTTGCGATTTTTTGCGATTTGAGATATATGCGGTTTGCGATTTGGCTCCAAACTGCACCGTGAACACCCCTACTTATACCTGCTTGTATTTGTGTGTTATTGCTTACTCGCATCTATCTTTTCAAAATTTATCTTATATGCATTTGTCTCTTTCACACACTTTTCACAAGCCAGGGGTCTTCACGGAAACAATACTCTTTCAGGTAGATCTCGGGTCTGTATACATCTTAACCCTCACAGACCGCACCTCCAGGTGGGATATATTGGATTCGTTTGTTATAATAAATGGATGATATTGGTTTATAGTGTAGGTTCTCTTCTTTCGTCTTTGTAAGAGTATTAAATACTCTGTTGGTTGGTATTTGGACATTATACTTGAACATGTTTCGGGAAAATTCGCAATGGGTAAATTCATTTATTTATTTCATATAAAATTGGATATCTGGTAATGAAATTTTATGTGGTCTTTTGTCAGCTTGCAAAGAAGGGAGAAAAGTTTATAGACCTCCCTTATGTTGTAAAAGGAATGGATGTGTCTTTTAGTGGAATATTGAGCTACATTGAAGCCACTGCTGAAGAAAAGCTTAAGAACAATGATTGTACCCCTGCAGATTTATGCTACTCCTTACAGGTAACTAAAACAATATCCAAATCTTTAAATGCCAAATATTGGTTGATTCCTTTTATTAAGGTACTCTTTAATCAAGTTCTATATGTCCATGTGCGGTTGGTACACCGGATAGGATAGGACAAGACAAGACGGTACAAAAACTTTTTCCTTTGAAGTATAATATATATAAGGAGGTTCAAACGAGAATTATAATTAAATAAGAGAATACGAAAACAGACAAATCACATTAACGGTCCACAAAAGGCGGTGTGGGCGACCTGGGCTGCGACCTGACAAAGTTGCGAGAACCAAATGTGATTTTATACGAGATTTTAGTGTAAAATCACATGTGATTCGACTGTTTTTTTTATTCTCTTATTTAGTTTTCTTACATAAACATGTCTCTCTCTCTCTCTCTCTCTCTCTCTCTCTCTATATATATATATATATATATACTAGAAGCGTACTCGCGCAATGCACCGAGATACATCGTGATTTTAATATTTCATTTTATTCTTTATCTCAGTCGATGTTATAATATGACTTTATGTGATTTTGAGAAATCGATGATGTTTTTATTTTTGAATAAATATATGTTTGAAGATATCATAAAAATTTGACAAAAGTATATCGATATTAGTAACAAATTAACTATTTGAAATTCTTCATTTTTTTGTGTAATTTTTTAATTCAATTTTTTTATAATTTAATTTATGTACAATAACGAAGTAATTTATATTTGGTTTAATAATATAATT